TACTGCTTTACTCGAATGTTGTTTGTATATTCCTCCAATTAGACTCCAGGTTTTCCCAGGACGCGTGGGAACCCTGACAATCAAAAATCTGAGAGGCTTTGAGTGCGAGCTGCTCACCAGTGTCTGAGGAGAGCTGAGAAGATATGGAGTGACAGCAGGGATGGGGGAGTGAGGAGAGTGGGAGGGAAAAAGAGAGAGAGAGAGAGAGAAAGAGAGCGGAGAGACGAGAGGAGAGAGAAAGAAAGCATGTGGAGTGTGAATGAGGAGACAGACAGGAGGGGGAGGAAGACGAGGAGGAGGAAGGTCTAAACTCTGACCATAAACAAGAGAGAGAGAGAGAGAAGAGAGGGAAAGAAAGCATGTGGCCTGTGAATCGGGAGAGAGAGAGGAGGAAGAGGAAGAGGAGGAAGATCTAAACTCTGACCACAAACGAGAGAAAGAGGAGATAGGAGAAAAAGAGGAGAGAGCAAGAAAGAAACTGCAGTGTGAAAGCCTAAACTAGGATTAAAAACAAGAGAGACAGAAGAGATAAACGAGAGGAGAGGAGAGAGAAAGCATGGAGAGTGGGAATAAAAGACAGGGAGGAGGAAGAGGAGGAGAGAAGGAGGGAAAGAGAGGAGAGAGGGAGGAAGAAGAGGAACAAGAGGCGTAGGAAAGCCTAAACTTTGGCCATGGGCAAGAAAGAGAAAAGACAGAAACGAGGAGAGGAGAGAGAGAGAGATCACGTGGAGTGCGAATAAGAGACAGAGAGAAGAAGGAGGAGAAGAGAGAGAGAGAGGAGAAAGAGGAGAGAGGGAGGGAGAGGAGGCGGAGGAAAGCCTAAACTCTGACCACAAACAAGAGAGAAAGAGGAGAGAGGGAGGAAGAGGAGGAACGGGAGACAAAGGAAAGGATAAAAGAGAAAGAGAGGAGAGAGAAAGCATGTGGAGTGTGAAGGCCAAAACTCTGACCATAAACAAGAGAGAGAAGAGAGGGAAAGAAAGCATGTGGCCTGTGAAGCGGGAGAGAGAGAGAGAGAGGAGGAAGAGGAAGAGGAGGAAGGTCTAAACTCTGACCACAAACAAGAGAAAGAGGAGATAGGAGAGAGGAGAAAAAGAGGAGAGAGCAAGAAAGAAACTGCCTAAACTAGGATTAAAAACAAGAGAGAGAGAAGAGATAAATGAGAGGAGAGGAGAGAGAAAACACGGAGAGTGGGAATAAAAGACAGGGAGGAGGAAGAGGAGGAGAGAAGGAGGGAAAGAGAGGAGAGAGGGAGGAAGAAGAGGAACAAGAGGCGTAGGAAAGCCTAAACTTTGGCCATGGGCAAGAAAGAGAAAAGACAGAAAACGAGGAGAGGAGAGAGAGAGAGATCACGTGGAGTGTGAATAAGAGACAGAGAGAAGAAGGAGGAGAAGAGAGAGAGAGGAGAAAGAGGAGAGAGGGAGGGAGAGGAGGCGGAGGAAAGCCTAAACTCTGACCACAAACAAGAGAGAAAGAGGAGAAGAGAAGAGAGAGAGGAGAGAGAGAGAGAGGAGAGAGGGAGGAAAGGATAAAAGAGAAAGAGAGGAGAGAGAAAGCATGTGGAGTGTGAAGGCCAAAACTCTGACCATAAACAAGAGAGAGAGAGAAGAGATAAGAGAGAGGAGGAGAGAGAAAGAATGGAGAGTGTGAATAAGAGACAGAGAAGGAGGAGGAGAGAAGAGAGGGAAGAGAACGAAAGCATGTGGAGTGGAAATGAGGAGAGAGATAGGAGGAAAAGGAGGAGGACGAAGGCCTAAACTCTGACCACAAACAAGAGAGAGAAGAGAGAAAGAAAGAAAGAAAGAAAGTGCAACGTGAAGGCCTAAACTCTGACCATAAAGGAAGGAGGAAGAAGAAGAAGGAGGAGAGAAGAAGGAGAAGAGAGAGGGAGTAGAGAGAAAGCATGTGGAGTGTGACTGAGGCGAGAGATAGAGAGGAAGAAGAAGAGGAGAAAGAGGAGGAAGGCCTAAACTCTGACCGTAAACGAGAGAGAAAGAAGAGAGAGGAATCACGTGTCGTGCGAGTAAGAGACAGAGAGGGGGAGGAGGAAGAGGAGAGAGAGGAAAGGAAAGAAGAAAGAAAGTAAGCATGTGGAGAGTGATTGAGGAGAGACAGAAGGAAGAGGAGAAGGAGGAAGAGGAGGAAGGTCTAAAGTCGGACCACAAAGAAGAGAGAGGAGAGGGGAGAGAAGGAAAAGGAGAGATAGAGAGAGAGAAAGAAAGCACGTGGAGTTAAGGAGAGAGACGGAGAGGAGGAGGAGGAGGAAGGCCTAAACTCTGACCACAAACAAGAGAAAGAGGAAAGGAGAGAGAAATCATGTGGAGTGTGAATAAGAGACAGAGAGAAGGAGAGAAGGAGGGGAAGAGAGAGAGAGAGAGAGAGAGAGGAGAGGAGGGGAGGGAGGCCTAAACTCTGATCACAAACAAGAGAGTGGAGAGAGAGAGGAGAGAGAAAAAAGGAGAGATAGAGTGGAGAGAGAAATAAAGTATGTGGAGTTAAGGAGAGAGAGAGAGAGAGAGAGAGAGAGGAGGTAGAAGAGGAGAAGGAAGAGGAGGAGGAGGAAGGCCTAAACTCTGACCTTAATCAGAGAGAGAGAGAAGAGAGAGAAGAGAGGAGAGAGAGCCAAAGTGAAGTAAAGGAAGAAGGAAGAAGAAGAGGAGGAGGAGAAGAGAGAGAGAAGAGAGGAGAGAGAGCCAAAGTGAAGTAAAGGAAGAAGGAAGAAGAAGAGGAGGAGGAGTAGAGAGAGAGGAGAGAGAGAAAGCATGTGGAGTGTGAATAAGAAGCAAGAAAGAGAGGAGGAAGAGGAGGAGGAGAAGGAAGACGAAAACGAGGAGGAAGGCCTAAACTCTGACCACAAACAAGAGAGAAAGAAGAGAGGAGAGAGAGATGACGGAGTACGAATAAGAGCCAGAGAGGAGGAGAAGAGAGGGAGGGAGAGAGAGAGACAGAGAGAGCAGGGGAGAGGAGAGAGAAAGAAAACATGTGCAGTGTGAAGGAAGGAAGGAAGGAAGGAAGGAAAGAGACAGGAGAAGGAAGAGGAGGAGGAGGAGGAAGGACTAAACTCTGACCACTAACAAGAGAAAGGAGAGAGAGAGAGGAGAGAGAAAAAAGGAGAGATAGAGAGGAGAGAGAAACAAAGCATATGGAGTTAAGGAGAGAGAGAGAGAGGAGGAAGAAGAGGAGGATGAAGAGGAGGAAAGCCTAAACTCTGACCATAAAGGAAGGAGGAAGAAGAGGAGGAGAAGAGAGAGAGGAGAGAAAGAAAGAAAGAAAGCACGTGGAGTGTGAATAAGGAGAGAGATAGAGAGGAGGAAGAGGAGAATGAGGAGAACGAGGAGGAAGGCCTAAACTTTGACCACAAACGAGAGAGAGAGAGAAGAGAGGAGAGGAGAGAGAAAGAAAGAAAGAAAGCATGTGGAGTGTGAAGGAAGGAAAGAGGCAGGAGAAGGAAGAAGAGGAGGAGGACGAAGGAATAAACTCTGACCATAAACAAGAGAGAGAGAAGAGAAAGGAGAGAAGAGAGAGAGCATGTTTGGTGTGAATGACAAGATAGAAGACAGGAGGAGGAAAAAGAAAAGAAAGAGGAGGAAGAGGCGGAGGAAGAGGAGGAGGAAGGTCTAAACTCGGACCACAAAGAAGAGAGAGGAGAGGGGAGAGAAGGAAAAGGAGAGATAGAGAGAGAGAAAGAAAGCACGTGGAGTTAAGAGAGAGACGGAGAGGAGGAAGGGGAGGAGAGCAGAGAGAAGGAGGAGAAGAGACAGAGGGAGGAGAGACAAAGCATGTGGAGTGTGAATGAGGAGAGAGAAAGAGGAAGGAGGAGGAAGAAGAAGAGGAGAAAGAGGAGGAAGGCCTAAAACTCTGACCATAAACAAGAAGAGGAGAGGAGAGAGAGGAGAAAACGTGGAGTGTGAAGGAAGGAAGGAAGGAGACAGGAGAAGGAAGAAGAGGAGGAGGACGAAGGAATAAATTCTGACCATAAACAAGAGAGAGAGAAGAGGAGAGGAGAGACAGAGCATGTTTGGTGTGAATGACAAGATAGAAGACAGGAGGAGGAAAAAGAAAAGAAAGAGGAGGAAGAGGAGGAGGAGGAAGTTTCTAAACTCTGACCATAAAGGAAGGAGGAAGAAGAGGAGGAGAAGAGAGAGAGAGAGGAGAGAAAGAAAGAAAGCATGTGGAGTGTGAATAAGGAGAGAGATAGAGAGGAGGAAGAGGAGAAGAGGAGGAGAACGAGGAGGAAGGCCTAAACTTTGACCACAAACGAAGAGAGAGACAGAAGAGAGGGAGAGGAGAGAGAAAGAAAGAAAGAAAGCATGTGGAGTGTGAAGGAAGGAAAGAGGCAGGAGAAGGAAGAAGAGGAGGAGGACGAAGGAATAAACTCTGACCATAAACAAGAGAGAGAGAAGAGAGAAAGCATGTTTGGTGTGAATGACAAGATAGAAGACAGGAGGAGGAAAAAAAAGAAAAAGGAGGAAGAGGTGGAGGAAGAGGAGGAGGAAGGTCTAAACTCGGACCACAAAGAAGAGAGAGGAGAGGGGAGAGAAGGAAAAGGAGAGATAGAGAGAGAGAAAGAAAGCACGTGGAGTTAAGGAGAGAGACGGAGAGGAGGAGGAGGAGGAAGAGCAGAGAAGGAGGAGAAGAGACAGAGGGAGGAGAGACAAAGCATGTGGAGTGTGAATGAGGAGAGAGATAGAGGAAGGAGGAGGAAGAAGAAGAGGAGGAAGAGGAGGAAGGCCTAAAACTCTGACCATAAACAAGAAGAGGAGAGGAGAGAGAGGAGAAAACGTGGAGTGTGAAGGAAGGAAAGAGGGAGACAGGAGAAGGAAGAAGAGGAGGAGGACGAAGGAATAAACTCTGACCATAAACAAGAGAGAGAGAAGAGGAGAGGAGAGAAGAGAGAAAGCATGTTTGGTGTGAATGACAAGACAGAAGACAGGAGGAGGAAAAAGAAAAAGAAAAGAGGAGGAGGAGGAAGTTTCTAAACTCTGACCGCAAACACTCACTTGGCCAGATGCTTCATGAGGAGCCCCAGGACTTGTCGATTTTTCTCTGGCAGCTTGTGGACGAGACAGTGGACGGCCTGGATCCGAGACTCCGGAGTCCCAGCCTCTGTTCACAACGAGAACAACAAGAATCAGCTTCAGAAAAAAAAAAAAAAAAAAAAAAAGGAGAAACGAGAAAAAGCAGAAGGCCCCAGCGCTGCCGTGGCACAGAGCCAGACGAGCACAGCTGAGGTCCGGAGATGCAGCGCTGGAAATCTTACTCAATACACATTTGTTTTTTTTTTTACTGGAAGCTGGAGGTTTGGAGCTGGAGGCAATTTGCAAAACACGAAACCGGTGATTAGTAAAGATAAAGAAATCATTAATTCTCGATTTGCAAACGCATTAAAGTCACATTTTGTAATTGCGCGGGTAAAATGTGAAATGCAAAATGAAGACGTCTTTTTAAAAACACTTTTGAGCCTGTTTAGAAAAGACACGCACGCTCCAAACGGACACGATAAGGATCAAAAGTGAACGATCTGTGTGTCAGTCGTTTATTCGTTTTTTCAAAATAAAACCAAAAATAAGAAAATGAAAAAAAAAAAAAAAACAATTTTCTTCATTATTTGTCTCCAAAAACAAAATGAAAAAACAGATGATTCTTTTCCCTTTTCCGCGACTTAAACTGTGATGCTGGACTTTTGCGCCGCATATGGACTGAACCAGGACTAAACCAGGTCCGGAAACAGACCGGAACCAGACCAGGACAAAGACCGGGACCAAGACTGGTACTGAGACCAGGACCAGACCAGAACTTAGTTTGGGACCAGGACCCGGACTGAGGGAGGGACCGAGACCAGGCCCAGACCAGGATCAGACAGGGACCAGATTGGAACTGAGACCGGGACCAGACCAGAACTGATCAGAGACTGGACTAGAGACTAGACCAGAAGTAAGACTGGGATTTAGACTGGGACCAGACCAGGACTGAGACCGGGATTGAGACCAAGGCCGAGACTGGGACTGAGACTGGGACCAGACCTGGACTGAGACCAGGACTGAGGCTGGGACCAGACCGTGACTGAGACCAGGACTGAGACTGGGACCAGACCTGGACCAGACCGGGACGAGACCAGGACTGAGACCGGGACTGAGACCGGGACTGAGACCAGGACTGAGACCGGAAACAGGACCGGGACTGAGACGAAGACTGAGACCGGGACTGAGACCGGGACTGAGACCGGAACCAGACTGGGACTGAGACTGGGACCAGACCAGGACTGAAAATGGTTTAGTCCTGTTGTAGTCCTGGTTTAGTCCACATGCGGCGCAAAAGTCCGGCATCACAGTTTAAGTCACGGAAATGGAAAACGGCCATTTTCAATTTTTTCCCATTTTCATTTACAACACAAAATCAAAAACTAACAAAAACTAATCAATATCTGTTTTTTCATTTTGGTTTTGGAGACAAATAATGAAGAAAATAATTGTCTATTCATTTTCTTATTTTTTGGTTTTATTCTGAAAAACGAACGACCGACACACAATTTTCGATTCATTTTTCATGTAAACTTTTCAAAAATGTCAAATATTAAGAGTTCAAAGACATTGCTGAGACTAACCAGCTTCGTGGTAACTACTACTCCAATCCAAAAGAGGCAAAGTTGAAATATTTTAATAACTTCAAGGTTCATAAAGTTTCAGAAACATATTTTTAAATCCAATAAAACGACAGGTCATTAGTTACCACATGCGGCTTTCTAACTTTAAATATACTTTTTTTGGCTTAAAGGTTGTATGGAGGATTTTTTTTGTTTCAAGTTGTCAATGATAGATTATAGAGATGCAGTAGCCTTGTAATTATGATGACCAAAAAAAAGAGAATAAAAATTCATCAACTCTGGACGTGGTGGGGCTAAACATTTGCCAATAGATAACGACACTGCCTCGTTATCTGTGAGCTGACAGGCTGTCAATCAAACTCCCTACGTTTCTAGTGTAACTGACTTGCCTGCGCCGCCGGTACGTGGTTTACGTACGACTGTCACACAGTCCACAGACGCAAGACGCACAGACGCTGTTTACTCCACCAACGCAACAGTTCTTAGCGGCTTTTTTTTACCTATATCTTCCTCGCAGTTCACACAAAGTTTGTTGCAATGGCGACAAGAATCCAGGAGCAGTTCGCCCCAAAACAAAGTCCGTTTTTGAGGTCGCTGAAAGAAGAAGACAAGGGGAAAAGCAGCGAAGCCAAACTAAGGTGATTCTTGAAGATTCATTCCAGCGATGGCGCGACTGAAGCAGACGCAGGGTCTAAAGACTGACGCACTGGTCCACAAATTACTCCTGGACAGGAAACTTCTGCTTATTATGAAAACGTACTTTATTTCCAAGAGCGAGACAAACGTTTTTCAGGACACGAAAGCGATATCCTATGTCTGAAAACGTAATTTTCAAGGCAAAGAAAGAGTCCACTTGCTGCTGCGCGTGTTGTAGCTAGTTCATTCGCACGGAATCTCCGCGCAACCTTCTCTGCACCCCTTTCCTGCTCCTCTCCCCGCTGCCCGATCCGCTCTTCCCCTGCTCCTCACTTCTCCGGGCACGGAATCTCCGCGCACCCCTCTCTCTCTCCTCTCTCTCTCTCCCTGCTCCGCTCTTCTCCCTGCTCCTCACTTCTCGTCCGCGAACGAAATGTCCGCACACCCCCTCCCCCCGCTCCTCACTTCTCCGTCTTGCCTAACCAACACTGTAGTTAGTTGTTTACAAGTCATGTGCAGCACCGGCTGTAAACAAACCTGTTTCTGGCGTAAGGAGGAGGAGGGAGGAGGCGTTTCTACGTAGGAGCTGTAGGGGAGGGGGGTTGGTTTCACGCATGCGCAACATTTGAAAAAGGACAAACAGTCGCTGGATTTCTCGTTCCTTGGAAAATCCTCTATACAACCTTTAATGAAGACCTACCTGCTGAAACATAAATAACATTCACACTTTGCTGGAATTTCTCTACTGATATTTGATTTTTTAATTCATAAAGTCGGTCACACACTGTAAACACTGTAAAATCCATTCGATATATTAACAGATTAGACCAGTTACTGTGACATTTGTGCATTATAATCAACTCTTTTCGCTCCAGTGCTTCTAAAATCTAAAACGAGCGAGAGTTTATGATCCTCGTAAACAGGCAGCGCCATCAGCAGCATCACCAAGGTCAAAGTTTATTTCTACAGAATATTTAAAAACAGACAGTACAGCCCCAGAGTGCTTCACACTATAGACAGAATCAGAATAAGAGTAAAAAATATACAATAAAATCTGTCAAGCCAAGTTAAAGACGGGGGATTATGCAAAGTCCTTTTTTTTTTTTTTACTTGAGATGTTGTTCCATCATCACAAACGTGTCTTGAAGAAGTTTAAGAGTCGTCCGTGCGTGTTTTTGTATTTTAGATCTTTCCTGGGCTCTGTTCAAACACTCCTGTAAGATTTTGTGCAAGGCTCCGCCCACTCAGGCCTTAAAACTCCATAAATATACAAAAAAAAAAAACATTATACAAAACTGTACACGGCAACTTTGCAAACATGATGAATCTGTGTGTCATTCGTTCATTTGTTTTTCAAGATAAAACCAAAAATAAGAAAATGAAAAAACAACTATTTTCTTCATTATTTGTCTCCAAAACCAAAATGAAAAAACAGATAATGATTCGTTTTTTTCAGTTTTCGATTTTGTGTTTAAATGAAAAATGGAAAAAGAAACATGGATAATGGCAGTTTCCCGTTTACGTGATTTAAACTGTGATGCCGGACTGAACCAGGACTAAACCAGGTCCAGGACCAGACCGGAGCCAGACCGGGACTGAGACCAGGACTTAGACCAGGGCCAGACCTGGACTGAGACCTGAGACCAGACTGAGACTGGGACTGACCAGACCAGAGACCAGGACCAGAGACCAGGACTGAGACTGGGACCAGACAGTGACTGAGACCGTGATTGAGACTGGGACTGAGACCAGCACCAGACCAGGACTGAGGCCGGGACGAGACTGTGATTGAGACCGTGATTGAGACCGTGAGTGAGACCGTGGACTGAGATCGGGACTGAGACCGGGACTGAGACCAGGACCAGACCAGGACCAGACCAGGACTGAGGCCGGGATGAGACTGATTGAGACCGTGATTGAGACCGTGAGTGAGACTGGACTGAGACCGGGACCAGACCGAGACCAGACCGGGACCAGAATGGGACTGAGACCGGGACCAGACCAGGACCAGACCTGGACTGAGACCGGGACCAGACCAGGACTGAAAACGGCTTAGTCCTGGTTCAGTCCAGCATCGCAATTTAAGTCACGTAAACGGAAAACAGTCGTTATCCGTTTTTTCCATTCTTCATTTAAACACAAAATCTAAAACTGAAAAATGAACCATTATCTGTTTTTTCATTTTGATTTTGGAGACAAATAATGAAGAAAATTGTTGTTTTTGTTTTTATATTGAAAAACAAATGAACAAATGATACACAGATTCTGATGAGCTGTAGTTTCATTATGGAGTCGCACGCTGGTTGTGTTGTGTCAGCGCTCTGAAGGGGGAGTGACTTGTTAATGCGTTGTTGTTTTTTTTGGCAAATATAATCTAGTATTTTCAGTGTAGTAGTAACAGTTAATTCCCCATAGAAAATTATTAATATTTTACTATACAAATGCATAGAATTTTGAGATTTTGAGACACTCCCGTTGCTCGAGCTCGATTCTTCGCGGAGTTACGACCAAAAACGCATATCTGACCTTGGTTACCTTGACCTTCAAGTGACCTTGACCGGTTTCAACCTGTAACATCCAGTGGACCCCGGTTATGTGTGTGACAACTTGTGTGATGATTGGGTGAATATTTTAGCCCACAGATGGTTCAGAAATTGCTGAAATTGCCTTCATCCTTTATAACGGCGTGAAATTTCAATTGACCCGTGTGACCTCAAATGACCTCGGATCGTCACCAAACTTTTTTTGCGGCATCGGGCACGAGGGCTTGATCCACGTACCAAATCTGGTGACAATAGGTCCATAAATGGCGGAACTAAAAGAAGGACTAAACCAGGACTAAACTGGGACTAAACCAGGACTAAAC